CTGCTCCTATGTTCTTAAGGTTGGTAGGGCATGGGTGTGGAACAGAATGTCTAACAGGAATGGAGACAGGACATATTGAATAGTAAAGCAGTTGCATTTTCTAACCACTCGTCAGAATATCGACTAATAAGTCATGGAAAATAAAATTCAAGATTTTGAAATGGTCATTAAAAAAAAGACTGTCAATGTGAAATGTCAGCTCTATATTAAGGTTGGGAAGTAGTGCAGCATTTAATCAGGCAAGAAGACATGGCTTCCCGATGTCACCAGGTTACAACAGGGTGGGCACATTTGAGGAGAGAGTGCCAGGTGAAACTTTTAAAGTCATGAATATGTAAGGACCTCTTTTTTTCACTGTTGTTGTTCCTGCAGTAAGGGGTTAGGCCCATGTCAACCTGCCTGCAGGTTGAGTAAACATATTCACAGACTGGGCGTCCAAAGCCTCTGGGACAGGGATTTCCAAAGATTGCATTACACTCACCGTACCTCATCAGAGACTCCCTTTCTCCATCTTACCTCTCCCTTGGGCCTCCATTGCTAATCTTTGTCCCTGCCTCCTGAAGTGCCAGCTGTGACCATAGCCCCTGGTGGCACTTGTAGGCCTGAAGAGCTGCCAGCCTGTGATTGCCTGACTATCCTTGTCAGCTAAGAGTCATACCAGATTCAAAACATTAATTCTGTTTCTTTCTCCACCATAGCTGCCAGACCTGCTGAGTTTCTCTAGTGTTCTCTGTTTATTTTAGATTTCAGCATTCACAGAATTTTGCCTTTATTAGAGGTGACAATTTGACTATTAGAGCTGCCTTGTATGTCTTGTCAGCGTGTTTGAATGTACCAGCAGTCTACGCTAGAGAAGGTGGCGGCATCTGTATGACCTTCAATAGCAACAACAAATTTGGAAATATTACAATTCAACTCCATATCCAAATCATCTATATGCATTGTAAATAGCTGTGGATCTAGCACTGACATTTGTGGTACCCCATTAGTAACAGCCTGCTATCCTTAGAATGATCTGTTTATTCCTACTCTCTACTTTCTGTCTATTAACCAATTCTCAATCCATACTCATATATTTCCCTCAATCTCATCAGCTCTGGTTTTATTTACTAAACTCCTTTGTGGGACCTTATTAAAAGCCTTCTGAAAATCCAAATAAATCACATCCACTGGCTCTCCAATGCTACAAGTGACATGCTCAAAAACTCCCAACAAGTTTTTAAACATATTTTATTTTCATATATCCATATTGACTCTGACCAAATTTGACACTCTTTTTTCAAATATCGTGTTAACACATACTTCATAAGACATTCTAGCATTTTCCCTGCTATGGACGTAAACCTAACAGGTCTGTAGTTCTCTATTTTCCCGCTCGGCCTCTTCTCTTCTTAAATAGTAGGACTACATTTTCCATTTCTCAATCATCAGGAATCTTTCCAGAGTCTATTGAATTATAAAAGGTAACCACCAATGCAAACACTATTCTTTTGAACTCTCTGGCATGAAGCTCACCTGGTCCAGGAATTTTATCAATCCAGCTTATTTTTCAAGTGCCACGTTTTTGTCAACACCTCAGTTACTCAAGTCTTTTGGTCACTTAGTATTTCTGGGAGATTTTCTGTATCTTCTTCCAAAGACAGATAAGAAATAACTCTTTAGTTTCTCTGACATTTCTCTTTTATCCTGTCCTCACCTCCATTTATCTTTGCTAATCTTTTTCCTTTCATTTATTGATAGAAGCCTTCATTGTCCTCCTTTATGTTTCTCACTATCTTGCATTCATATTCTCTTTTCCCTTTCCTTGTCAATTTCTTGCTCTTCCTTGCCTGTGGAATTCCTGTTCTTGCCTGTAGAATTCACTACCACAGATTTGTATGATTACGCAAAGGAGTTGGATATAGCACTTGGGGCTAAAGGGATTAAAAAGTATGGATGGAAAGCAGGAGCAGCCTATTAAGTTGGATGATTAGCCCTGATTATCATGAATGACAGAGCAGGCTTGAAGAGCCAAATGGTCTATGTCTGGTTCCATTTTCTATGTTTCGATGTCTCCTTTGCTGAGTTGTTAATTGCTCCCAAACCCCAGGCTTGCCTTTATTTATGGCACTCTTATAGCTACTTCCTTTAATCTAATGAAATCTTTAACTTATTTTGTTAACTGTGGTAAATTTACTTTCCCCTTTGGGTATTTTTTTTAACTTAAATGAATTTGTTGTTGATCTTTTAGTAGTTCTTTAAGTACTAGCCATTTCCTGTCTAATATTGAATCTTTTAACTTATTTTCCTAATCTACTGCAACTAACCTGCCTGTCATATCCTCATCGTTTCATTTGCTCAGATTGGAAACCAGTTGAATTTTTGAACAAACCCAATCTTTCAATCAATGTTTTCTGGCACCTACATCAATCATCATCCAATGGCTCAGTGTGTATTCCTTTTATCTTTTTTTCACAATGCCACTGCCCTTTGTCACCCCAGCACGTGAGAACAGTTCTAGATTATAAACACCATTTAATTGCAATCTGCTATATTATGTTTCTCAATTGTAATGTGAATATCTTTTCCTTAACATTTGTGATTTTTTCTGCTTATTGCTAACACTTCATTATATATTTGAGGTTTTGTATATATTAGTTTGTTCCTTTCTATGTTTTCTACGTAAACCTTTTCACATGTTGTTCTTTGTACCTTTTCTGTCTGCTTATAAATCTTTTCATGAAAATTTATTACTCATTTCTTATATATTTGCACTTCTCTATTTCCTGCCCTTCCTCTTCCCCCGATTTAGCAACATTAAAGACATTCATTCAGTTCTGGAAGTGACAGTTTACGATGAGGACCGGGATCGAAGTGCAGATTTCCTGGGCAAAGTTGCCATACCTTTGCTAAATGTAAGTTTTATCTGTCTGACGTATTGTTCGTTTTTCTTACTTAATAAAATTCCACACTATATGTCTGTCATTTCTCAAGCAAGATTTGTAGTAATAACACTAAAATTCTAGCATACCTAATCCACAACCACGTTGAATCCCATGATAGTTAATTTTTTTGACAGACTTGGTGCTGGTAATGAACAGGTACTTGTCAGAGTTGCCACAGTTGTTTTGGGTTCTCTGTCAGTTTCAGCAGCTGGGGGTCAAAGGTCGCTGGGGGAGTGTATTCAGCAGAGACTGAGAGACAGACGGCTGTCATGTCCTTTTCCCACAGATTCAAAATGGTGAACAGAAAGCCTACGTTTTGAAAAACAAGAATCTGACAGGGGCAACAAAGGGGGTCATCTATCTTGAAATGGATGTGATTTTTAATGTTGTAAGTCTTAACTTCAGCTTTTCCTACTGCCTAAGATGTTCTTTTTAGTCGAATGAATCTCTTTAGTAATTCTGTATGAGAATTTTCTATGTTACACTCAATTTTTGTGTAGAGTGCTGCAATTGTTATGTCATGAGATTACCATGGGAAATATTTTACACTGTGAATGAAACATTCTTTGTTTTATGTGATACTGTGCAGATAAGAGCAAGCATCAGAACAATCACTCCCAAAGAAGGGAAATACATTGAAGATGAACAGAAAATCTCAAAAGAGGTACAATTTTTGAGTACAATAAAATTATTCTCTGATTTTTCACAGCAATCTTAAAAGACATGTACCAAGAGCAATCTCAATTATTAATTTGCAAATTGAATTGTTCCTGTGAGCTTTTAACATTCATGTTAGTAGTACCTGATTAGTGGAGAAGTAGAATGGATTATATAACTATTTGTCCATGGCTTGTACTCATTTAGTTAAGCAAATCAATACAAACATATGCAGTATTAAATGCCTTTAATTAAAGATTTGACATTGACATTTGCACAATTTACCACAAGTCTATTAATATACTGGAAGAAGTTCCTAACTATTTAGCTTGGCCATTATGCAGAAGAAAAATAAATTTATAATTATGTTGTCACATGGATTTCAGACTGGTGTGGTGACAGACAATTGAAATTTTCAGTCGTTATGTCATATTTTCCACTTGCGTTTTGGCAGCATTCAATGGCAAACGCACTTAAAGTGTGAAAGAGCTAAAAGTATAGTATTAGCTTTTGTGTTTCCATTTTATTTTATTCATTCATGGGATGTGCATGTCACTGGTTAAGTTTTTATTGCTTATGTAATGATCCCAGTTAATGGTAATACTGGACAAGTCAGATCTCAGTGTGAAACCTGGATTACTGGATCAAAAGTTTTATTTTTCTACAAATTGTGTACTGTGGTATTCAGTTACTGAACTTATTTGTCTGTTAGTGTATTTTTGACACAAGAACATAATGATCTATGACACATTAAAAACAAAAACAAATGCTAACTATTTTACACTTTATACAATTAGTTAAAGTAGTCTTGATACAAACATCGGACAAAACAATTCAACCCTTTTACTCAAGAAAAGTAATTTTACGGATACACAAATCTCCGTGAAGGGTCCTCTTTCCACTTCACAGTTTCTTGTTTAGTGAGCATGGCTGTACTTGGTTTCAACATTTCTGCTTTTATTTTTATTTAGTTATTGTCTCTTCCTGAGACCCATAAACAAACTATTAGCACAGCTCACTTATTTCTTAACATGGGTTCCTTAAACTTGCCTCCCACAGCCTTACGTTTCTGGAGTTATTCACTGACTGCCATTACACCATTCAGGTCTTCTTTTCTTCTGCCCTATTTTGGAAACTGCTAAACTTCACTGCTGATATTATAGGTCTTTTCTCTCTTAACAAATTGTTTCACTTTCTGAAAGAAAATGCACACTCACTGACAATCTGAATGGTTCTCTCTTTCTAAAATAACTTGTTTTTGTCTCTATCTCACTGTGTCATTGGACACCTTTTTGCTAGGCAACGGTCCATTGCCTTTCTCCTCTGTACTACCTTTATTTCTAAGTCACTGAACAATTCTACTCAAAGGTTTTAAAGACCTCACTCAACATTGTATTTGAGCCCAATAATGCTAATTTTCTAAAAAGCTTTTTAAAATTCTGATTGACATTTAAGTGCATACAGAGCAATCTGTACAAGCAAACTAAAAACTTATCTGAATTGTAATCAGGAAAGAGCAAGAGAGTGTACTGGTGGTGGAAGTGGAAGAAACTGGTTTGCTCTACAAATGAGTCAGTGCAGTCTTGATAGTTCGACAGGCCACCTCTGTGCCATACAACGTAATAACTTCATGGGCTGATTTTATGGCTGAAAGTCATGCAGGCCACTCTCATCAGGTTCATACTAAATATCGGGGTAGCAATGTAACGTCATTGCGCAAGTCTGGAAATTGAAAGCCTACCAACCAATTTGAAATAACAAATAACAAACCATTGAGCCTGTTAACAATTGAATTGAATACAATTTTTCATTGCCCAATCAATTTTTCAGTTGTCGAACCGGAAAAAGGTTAGGGAGTGATTTACACTGTGTGAGGTGAAAAGGCCTTCAAATGGGATGATGGCTTCATGTAGTAGCAGACTTTGCAGGTAAATATGGCAGTATTGGTTTTCTTTTACTCTATTTTTCCACTGTTTTCAGACTGCTACAAGAAATAAGTTGAATGAGACAACAGGGGCTTAGATTGATACGGTCACACAGTATGGAAACAGATCCTTCAGTCCAACTTGTCTATGCTGACCAAGTTTCCCAAACTAAATTTGTCCCACTTGCCTGCGTTTGACCCCTATCCCTCAAACCTTTCCTATTCATATACATGTCTAAATGTCTTTTAAATTTTCTAATTGAATGCATCTACCACTTCTTCTGGCAGTTCATTCCACATCTGAACCACCTCCTGTGTGAAAAAAATTGCCCCTCAGGTTCCTTTAAAATCTTTCTCCTCTCACCTTAAAAATATGACCCTGGTTTTGACCTCCCCCACCCTAGGGAAATGACCTTTGCTATTCATCTTGTCTATGTCCCTCATGATTTTATAAACCTCTATAAAGTCACCCATCAACCTCCAGCACTCCAGTGAAGTCCGAGCCTATTCAGCCTATCTTTATAACTCAAAACCTCCAGTCCCGGCAACATCCTGCTAAGTCTTTTTCGAGCCATCTCCAAAATAATAATTCTGTCCCATAGCAGGGTGACCAGAACAGTACACAATACTCCAAAAGTGACCTCACCAATTTCCTGTACAACCTCAACATGATGTCCAATTCCTATACTCAATGGTCTGAGCAATGAAAGCAAGCATACTGAACACCTTCTTAACCACCCTATCTACCTGTGATGCAAATTTCAAAGGACTACGTACCTGAACCCAGTTTGACAACACCACCCAGTGCCTTCCCATTAACTGTATAACTCCTGCCCTTGTTTGTTTTTACTAAAATGCAATACTTTACATTTATCCAAATGAAACTCCATCTGCCACTCCTCAGCCCATTGGCCCAATTGATCAAGATCCCTTTGTAATCTTAGATAACCTTCTTCACTGTCGACTATACCCCACTTCCCGTTCATATCCTAACCCTCTCACTCAGACCTGCCAAGCCAGACAATGATTAGGCATGGAGTACCTCATGTACGACAAATTAACCGCTATCCTGATAGTGGCTAATTGACATCCAATCATTTGATTCATTATGCTGAGAGGGAGGCAGTGTGAGAGAGGGAGCCCACTATCCACTTTCTGTTCCCCTCCCTTACTCCAGCATTAACCATCAACATGAACAAGGGATAGGCAATAAATATTAGCCCAGCCAGCGATGCCTACATCCCATGAATGAATTCTGAACAAAGGAGTAAAGCAGGAGAAGCTGCAGGAAAAGTTCTGGCACACATGTTCTTGAAGTGGGAAACAAAGTTACTAAAAGCTGTTAAAAATGTGCAGCTTCTTGATATCCTATTTGATTTAGGGTAACATGCACACACCTGAAAGATTTGTTTCTGGTGATCATCGATTAGGCATATACTCAGCAAAATGGAACCACTTTTCTGTTTGCGAATGCTGCTGGCTGATTCCAGGGAATTCCCAGCACCACACGTGTGCCCCTTGTGCCATTCCAATGATGGGAGCAAATCCTACAACTCTGGCAACATTGCTCTCTGGGTTTGTTATGAATCTTATAAATTCACTTACTGTTCTGTCCAAGCCATTGGTGACCTTGCTGATACATTTGTAAGTAGTCAACTGATATTCCACATATAACCCAGTGGAGCTAAGTGGCAAAGCATGGCAAAACAATGTCATGATGAGTTCCAATGCTACTAGCATTGGATATCTTCACAATTCATATGGCCACAGGGTTTCCTATTATGCCCCTCATGATTTTATAAACCTCTATAAGGTCACTCCTCAACCTCCTGCACTCCACTGAATACAAGCCTATCCAGCCCTGTACATCACCAGCCACCTCTAACATTGCCTCTTTGATATTTACTAAATGACTGTCCCATCTCCCACATTGTGACCCTCAAACTGCCACCCATCTTCTTCAGCACTCATTGTATCAACCTTGTGCTTCCCACAGTTATTCTCGAGCCTTGGGACTTAATATCCTCTCCTGACATTGAACTTCTCTGGATGAATTAGATATATCCCTGTCCAGCACAGGTCAGGCTGACACCTTCCTTCCTACCTCCATCACTCAGTATTAGCTCTGCTTAGGCAAATTCTTTCTTCCTACTTCTGACCTTAGGTGATTGAAGCCCATGGGTCATGTAGCAATGATATTATTTTAGGAAGGTAGCCATGGAGATGTGAACATATTTGACCATGATTTCTATCCAATTGTGCAGGATTTGTGTATATTATTCTATAATTAACAGTCTGTTTAGTACATTTCAGTGGTGGGTCAGTACAATAAGATGCTTTTTTGCCAAGTTAATGTGGCACAGCAATACAATTTGAACAGCAACACTTGGATATTTAACTTTAACTGCGTAGAATACAGCACACCTGCGATTGCAATACCATTTGTTCATGAATAATGGTGAACTCCATTAGCCTCACCACTATTTTGACAGCAAATTATGACACATTAACCAAAACCCATTGTATTGGGAACACACTTAGTAATTAATTAATGCTAAAAGAATTTTGACATTTTTTGGCTCTTTTTCTATGTAATTTGACAGATAAAGTTAATAGCATGAGACTGACTTTATTTACTTAATTAAGAGTAAGTTCACTCCATAGGAATGTAAACATCCTGAACGCTGACAAACAACATGGGTGGAAATCAATAGGCCAAAATAGCTTGCACCACATTTTATTGAAATTTGAAAGTAGTACAAGCAGAATATATAAAATCGAGTACATTTCATAATCCAGTTTACTAGCTCATGGAAATTTGCTGCTCTGTTCTGACTTTATGACCACACAAGCATGTGCAGTGAACCAGAATCAGATTTTTTCAATGATATCACTTATGACACAAAAATGCATTCAGTTAAGTTTCAATTTAATTCATATTTGAAGCTTCATGTGCTTTGTGTAAGTATCCAATATTTTGATGAAGTTGACAATGTATATCGTTCAGTGCTAGTTGCTCAGTAGATGGTGCATGATGGAATATCAGGCAACTGTTTATGAATGTGCTGGACTGTTTGATACAA